AGTTCATAAATTTGTTCTTTATGTTTGCATAATATTCCATCGTGTATATGTACCAAATTTTTTTATCCAGTCCAGTTTCAATGGGCAGCATGGTTGGTTCCATGTTTGTGCTATTTTAAATAGTGCTGCAATAAACATGTGTGTGCAAGTATCTTTTTTGTAGAGTGATTTAAGTTCCTCTGGGTTTATTTCCAGAAGGGAGATTGCTGGGTCATATGGAAGGCTATTTTCTAGTTTTTTTAGGAATTACCACACTTTTCCATAGAGGTTGAACTAGTTTACATACCCACCAACAGTTAAGAAGCGTTCCCTTTCTCCACATCCTCACCAACATCTGTTGTTGTTTGTTTTATTAGTCATTGCCATTCTTACTGGGTTAGTTGGTATCTCAATGTGGTTTTGATTTGCATTTCTCTGATGATTAGTGAAGTTGAACATTTTTTTTTTCATGTGTCTGTTGGCTGCTTATATGTCTTTTGAGAAGTGTCTATTCGTCTTGTGCCCACTTTATTATGGGGCTGTTTGTTTTTTTCCTTTCTGCATGTTTGAGTTCCTTTTAGTCTCAGTGGTATACACTTTCAAAGCCTGGAGCTAAATTTATAAATTGTGTATACTGGTTGGCTATGCTGTTGATTCACTTCAAATGGGCCCTACCTACTAACTTAACATAATGAGTGCATTTTGAAAGAGGTGCAGAGCAAATAGAAAACTTCATATGTATATAAATGCTTCTGGAATGAGGGAAGGGGGGCAAGGACATGTCATATACTCTAGAAATAGACTTGTGTGTTACATTCATTCATACATAACTCTAAATTTACGTATACTAAAAAGTTGCAAGTACATTCCATCAACTGTCTAATTCCTGACAACACTGAACAAATTTTGAAAGCCGTTCCTAAGTTAACAATTCTAGGCCAAGCTTGCTGGCTCAGTCTGTAGTCCCAGGGAGTCTTTGGGAGGCCAAGGCGAGTGGATTGCCTGAACCTGCAGGTTCGAGGCCAGCCCAGGCAACTTGGCAAGACCTCGTCTCTACAATAAAATTTTAAAAATAGCCGGACGTGGTTGCATGTGTTTGTAGTTGCAGCTACTTGGAAGGCTGAGGCAGAAGGATCATCAGAGCCCAGCAGGTTGACACTGGGGTGGCCATGAGCGTGCCACTGCATTCCAGCCTGGGCGAGGGAGTGAGACTCCAACTCAAAAAAAAAAACAAAAACCAATTCTGAGTAGCACAAACAAGATGACTGACTGGAGACACCTGGTACGCACCCTCCTACCCCAATGCGCGCGCGCACGTGCACACACACACACACACACACACACACACACACACACACACACACACAAGGATGAAGGCAATAGATAAACAGCTAGCGTTTGGCTGGAGAGCTGAAGGGAGAGCACTGGAGTGCAGGGGGGAATAGGCACCTGTGGTACCCAGGGGACAGCATGGAGACACCCAGCCTCTGCACTTCCATCTCCACCTGGTTTGGATCAGCCCAGAGACAGGAGGAACTTCCCCTTGTGGGCGGGGGTGGGGAGGGAAGTGGAGGGGTGGGGGAGGGAGGTAAGCAGAAGAAGCTCACCAGCCCATTGCCACCACAAACGCCTACAGTCCTTACTACAAGCCCTGAGCCCAGTTGCTGGGAATTCACATACTGCATTGTTCCAAAGTAGGAGTATAAGGTGTGTGCTCCCCACCCACATCCACAGCAGGCTGTCATCAGAAAGACAAAACATAGCCAGTGCTATGCAGTGAAAGGCAATATTTACACTCTGTTGACAGGAATGTAAACTAGTACAATCACAATGGAGAACAATATGGAGAGTCCTTACAAAACTACAACTAATTCCAGCAATCCCAATACTGGGCATTTATCACGAAGAAAGGAAATTAGTATACTGAAGAGGCTGCACCCCATGTTTATTGTAGCATTATTCACAAGAACAAAGATATGGAATCAACCTAGGTGTCTATCAGCACACACACACACACACACACACACACACACACACACACACACATATGTATAATAGAATGCAATACTATTCAGCCATAAAAAGAAGGAAATCCTGTCATTCACAGCAACATGGTTGGAACTGGAGGACATTAAGTGAAATATATTACAGGAACAGAAAATTAAACACCCCATGTTCTCACTCATATAAGGAAGCTAAAAAAAAAGTTGATCTCATAGAAGAAAAAAGTAGTACAGAGGACACCAGAGACTGAGAAAGTTATGGGGAAGAAGAGGTAGGAAGAGATTTATCAAAGGGTACAAAATTACAGTATCTAGGAAGAATAAGTTACTGTGTTCTATACCACTATAGTATGACTATAATTAACAATAATATACAGTTTCAAATAGCTCCAAGGAGGATACTGAATGTTTCCAACACAAAGAAATGATAACTGCTTGAGACGATGGATGTGTTCATTTCCCTGATCTGATCACTAAACTTTACATGTATTGAAACATCCCTGTGCACTCCATAAATATATGTACAATTAGTACATCAATTTTTAAAAATAAAGAGGAGAAAAAAATAAATCTCTCTTTATACACACATCAAAATGACTAAAATAAAAGACAGTGACAACACAAAATGTCGGCCAGGGTGTGGAGATTCTGGGTCACTCCAACTTTGCTGGTGAGAATCTAAAATTGTACAGCCACTCTGGAAAGCAGTTTGGCAGTGTTTTGTAAAACCAAACATCTACTCAACCCTCAATCCAGCAATTGCATTCTTGGGCATTTGTCCCACAGAAAAAATTGTATGTTCATACAAGAACTTGAACACAAATGTTCAAAGCAGCCTTACTCATAATAACCAAAAGCTAGAGACAGTCCAGATGTCTCTCACTGGGGACATCCATGCTGTGGACTACTACTCAGCAATAAAAAGGAACAGCTTGGATGAATCTTAAGGCAATTATGCTGAGTACAGAAAGTTAGCACTCAAAGGTTACCTATTGTATGTTTCCATTTATATAATATTTGTGTAATAACAAAATTATAGAGAAGGAAAACAGAGTAGTGGCTGACTGGTTAGGGATGGAGGATGCTATGGCTTTAAAGGGATACCACAAGGGAGCCATGTGATTATAGAAAGTTCTGGATCCTGATTGTGCTGGTGGTTATACAAATATACACATATAAAATTAAACAGAACACACACACACACTTACAAGTGCATACATAACAAACTGGCTAAACTGTAATGACCTCTGTGGATAGTACCAATATCCATTTTCTAGTTGTGATATTGTACTACAGTTGTGCAAGTTGTTGCCTTTGAGGAAAATTTGGTTAAAGGTACATGGGATCTCCTCAGACTTTTTTTTTTTTTTTTTTGCAGTTTCCTGTGAGTCTTTAATGTCAAAATAAAAAGTTTACAAAAATATTTTTAAATAAAAAACAATTCTATCATAAAACCCAATGACTTTATGTTGAATGGTCGCCTGTATCCCTGCAGAAGCTTATCCTATCTTTTGATCATTGTCTTAACACCAAAATTTGTGTTGGGTTTCTTTGTTTGTTGGTTGATTGGTTGGTTTTTTGGTTGTACTGAGATGAGATCTTACTATGTTGCACAGGATAGACTCAAACTCCTGGGCTCCCAGAAATCCTCCCACCTCCACCTCCCAAGTAGCTGGGATTATAGGCATGAGCTACCTTGCCCAGTTTGGGATGTTTTAACATTCTAATCACTCCAAAAAAGCAGCAATTAAACAGTCAGGTCTTTTGGTTGAGTGCAGACTATCAACACATATCACTATAATATATACATACAGAGCAGTTTACATACACTAAAAGTACAGAAACCCAAGTTCCAATTGCCTAGGTAGAAATATGTGATACCTTCTAGTTTTATTACTTATGGCAAGTCATATTGCCTCTCTGAGGCAAACATTTCCTCACCTCCAAAAGGAAAGTGAATATTAATTCTCATTTTTACTATCCCACAGGGATATAAGAAGATAAAGTAACTTAAAAAAACACCACTTGGCATGTCTCTGAAAGCACTTTTCATTAGACTGTGTGATCCTAGAGTGTGGAAACCAAGAGATATTTATTTTCCTATGCAAGATTTACCCAATTACTAGGTACTTAACAAATACTTGTTAAAATAATGTAAATAAAAATTAGGAAGTCAGAAAACCCTTTTGAATATATTATAATGGAGAAGTAGTACTATATCTCTAAACATATCTATAGTTAGTCAATGAATTTGCTTCATAAATTTTATGTTAAACTTATCAATCTTCCAAGTGAAAGTGAATTTTAAGTAAATTTGGAATCCAATGGCAGAAATGACAAGCAATCTCCATAAAGGTATTGATTATGCTTTTATATTATGCTTCTTCTAAGAAAGTCCAGAGAGCAGTTATTTTTTGTACATGTACTATTATAAAGATCTGCTTTCTCTTCTTCATTTACTGCCTAAAGAGACACTTGATTATATTATTGATAGATGCAGTGTACCTGAAAGTATTTACATAATTGCAAGTTATTTTAAATTAGGTGTAACACAATAGTTAAAAGTACTTGTTGGTCACAGTCTATAACAGAGGTCTATAAAACTATGACCTGTGAACTAACACTAACCCACTATCCATGAATTAATGGATTTTACACTTTTTTACTGGTTGAAAAAATTTAAAAATAAGAATGTTTTGTGACACAGAAAAACTATATGAAACTCAGATTTCAATGTCCATAAATAAAGTGGAGCACAGCAAGTCTCACCCATTTCCAATACATTGCCTATGTCTACTTTCACTGATAGTGGCAGAATTGAGTGGCTGTAACAGAGACCATATGGCTTACAAAGTTAAATCCTTTACTACCTGATCCCTGATCTGTACGGAGCTGAACAGTGATACGGAAACTGACATAAGACTTGAATCATGCTCCCCTGGAGCTGGGGTCTGTGATATTTACTAAATTACCCCCTAATTCAGTGGACTGTACAGAAAGTGCCAAGAAGTACTCTACCTGTCATGTTCCTTGGGGGACCTGAAAATAAAAATTGAAAATGTTAAACAGAGTTTGAGATAGTAATTACCATCACATCATTCTCAAAGTACACATTCTTCATAAATTTCCTCTGATTTTCTTTGAAATCCTTCCTTAAATGAAAATGCTTACATAGTATCAGATAGTGACAAATTCTTATAGATTTAAGGAAGTGAGCAAAGGTGTGAAATAGATTCTATTTTTAATCCAGTGATCTTTAACCTCTTTTAAACTTTGTTTAAAAGTACCTTTACACTATACACATCTGGTTATCTCCTCATAAGAAAATTGTTTTCAGTAAATCAGCAGAGGTCTTCAGTGGTTGGCATTAAGAAAAATGGGAACCTTCTTTTTTGGGAAACGATGTATAATGTAGTATTAAAATCAGATGGTACTGTTAAGAGTAGGGTAAATGTCAGGACTGACTATAGACTATAGACTATTTCACAACTTTAATATAATATTAAATATTATATTATGTAGCAGATGCTTAAATAGAACTTGAACTGTGCTAAGCATTTTACAAAAATTAATTTGTTTAATCTTCATTAAAATTGATGAGTATCACCCAATACAGGTATAGAAACTAAGGAACAAAGAAGCTAAATGCTCAAAGTATTTCAAAATCATTTTTAATAAAGTAGGATTAATAGGAAATTGTCTTTTTTATACAAATGAGAAGTCCTGGAAATACACCCAAAAGCATCCAGCCAGAAGTGCAGAGGCAGGACCAGAAGCCAGGAGAGTTGGCTCCAAAGGCCGTGTTGCCCTTCATCTGCTGCCAGACCCGGGAGGTCTTCAGGGGCCTCACATTCGCTGGCTCTCATCTGACCTCATGGCTGGAGGCAGCATTTGGTGAAAACTGCTAAGGTTGACCTGAGAGATTGGCATGGTGTGAGAGTAGGCAGGGGGTCAAACCATCCTGCCAGGCCTCTCTTAACTAAGCCTGCACCACCAACTAGCTGAGCACTCTTGGGAACATTATTTAAATTCCCTGTGCTCTGGTTCCCCTATTGGATAATAACTATCTTATAACATTGAGGCTGGAATTAAAGAAGAGAGAGAGTACATATAAAGCCTGGCACGCTGTAAATGCCATATAAATGTTTTCTGCTATTCCTGGTAAACCCAGAAGTTCTGACTAGATAGAACATGCCAAAGTGGTGATGGTGGCATGGTTCATTATGATAATTACGTTGCCAGACAGCACAGTGGACCCACTCATGCTCCCTTGCATCCAATCTCTGTGCCATAGCTGTCATCTAAGTCCCAGTGTTGAGTCCAGCATGAAGATTCAGAGCAAGAGCTAACAAGTCAATCACTTTGTTTCAAAATTCCTCTTCTGCCCCAGTTTACAAGCTCTTGGACTTTGGCTTAATATGTCATCCCTTTCCACTGGTAGTAGTGGGATACTGCTGGGGTGGGGGAAGGACACAACACCAATTAGGGTGACTGATCTCAAACCAGACAAAGTGGGGACCAAAGGGAGGCCCAAACTTTGCTTGTATGATGTCCACTTGTATACCTAATCTTGAATTGTACCCCACATCTTTAAAATATGAAAAATAGCCAGACTCGGTGGCTCAGCCTGTAATCCCATACTTTGGGAGGCCAAGGTGAGTGGATTGTCTGAGCCTGTGGGTTTGAGACCCACCTGGGCAACTTGGTGAGACCTCATCTCTACAATAAATCAAAAAAATTAGCCGGGCGTGGTAACGCATGCCTGTAGTTCCAGCTACTAGGAAGGCTGGGGCAGAAGGATCACTGGAACCCAGCAGGTCGAGGCTGCAGTGGCTGGGAGCGGCCACTGCACTCTAGTCTGGGTGACAGAGCGAGACTCCAACTTTAAAAAATATAAAATAAATATAAAAAATAAAAATCTTTCAGTCATTTCATCCTGTTTCCTCCTCTACAAAATGAGTATTAAAAATATCTATCCAGGGCAACCTCTTCAGGTCCCCTCCCACTGTGGGAGTTTTTCTGTCCTCTCAATAAATCCTGCTTTCTTAAAAAAAAATCTAACCTGAGAGGGTTGGCGATTAAGTGAGCTCAGGAATGTGAAATGCCCAGAGTAAAGTATTCACTCAATAAATGTTCACATGTATTATGCTGTGAGAAAAGCAAGGAAGAAATGTCTTTAAAAGAGGTCTCTTTGGTCCACTCAGAACTCTTGTGTTTGAAATGAGGACTAATGTATCCCTTCCAAAGAGGCCTTCCACAAAGATGTCCAAATCACCACAAGTTTCAGGAGGACCTGAGGCCACATCTAATCTGACTTTAGTCTCCCATCAGTGCCAGATAAGAATGGTGTAATTTGCCAGTAGCAGACTGGGGACATGATTTCCCAAGTTCTTATCCTGGCCCAACTCCATACCGAGTATTTCTTCTTGAATATATTATTTTGCATTTTTCTAACTCAGTTTCCTCACCTGAAAAGCTAGCATCAAGTATACCAATTTACCAGAAAGCACATTGAGTTACAGCATTCGAATCATTTGTTGCTAGGATGTATATGATAAACACAAAAACTATTCTATGTGGGAAAAAGAATGCTACCAAGTATGTGTATTTTTAGGATAAGTCTATTTACCTAAAATCAAGTATGCGAATTTCCTTGTAGCCTGGTAACCCAGCAAATGCATTTTCAACCTGTTAAAAATTAAAAAAAAAAAATCACAACTATGTAGAAATGTGAAAGAGTATATAGAAAATGATGCTTTTAAGAGTAGAATAAAAAGTGTACTGTTTACAACTATTAGAAGCTTGCACATATACATAGACACACATGGATCAGAAAGCAAAAACACTGCAATAGCTACAATGCTAGAAAATCATTTTTGCCCCAACACTGCCACATTTTCCTTTGCCATTTTAGCTTTGGACATTTTATTATGCTTTAATATTAATTTTTTCTAATTATGAAAGGCATACTTATTAGCAAAGCACCGTTTTTTCCTTATGCGATGAAATGTGGGAAAAAAAATTTTGTTTCAAAAGAAGCTGTAATAGCATTTTAAATTGTTATTGTTTGGACTAGACACTCAGCCACAACACACACACACTGACAAACAGTTTAGTGGTTATTTTCTGCAAATGTGAAAGTGCCTGGCTGCATCTGTTTCCTGTCCCTACAACACATGAATTCAACATTACAAGGCCCAGAAGAGAGGCCTTGATGACTACTCATCACAAAAGAAGTCATGCAGCAGTGGTCAGGTAACTCAGTTACTTAGAAGATCAACTTATAAGGCCAGGTGTGGTAGCTCACACCTGTAACCCCAGCACCAGGAGGATTGCATGGGCCCAGGAGTTTGAGACCAGGCAACATGGCAAGACCCCATCTCTACAAAAAATTCGCCAGGCATAGTGGCTCATGCCCATAGTCCCAGCTACTCAAGAGGCTAAGGCGAAAGGATTGCCTGAGGTCAAGAGGTCAAGGTTGCGATGAACCATGATCACGCTGCTGCATTCCAAGCCTGGGTGACAGAGTCAGATCCCAACTCGGAAAAAAAAATCAACTTATGAGCATCAACTCTGCAGGAACCAGTTTTATCACTGAGTCTTAAAATCCAGTCATGTAACTCCATAGGAGCTTAGTGACTGGAGGGTGAACAAATAATGCTAGATTGGACTAAAGATATAAAAACAATCAGGTGAGGCACAAATACATATTTTAACAAAATTGGATATTTAATATCTAACATTTCAGAAGGTGACAACCTCTCCAGATAGGTCACTAGGGGTCAATATCAGAACAAAGGAAGTAAGTTCATGAACTTTGGCAACATCTCGGGGCTTCTGCTTTTAACCAAATCCTCAGATAATCAGGAGACTGGGATTTTTTTTTTTTAACCTTGCTTCACTGAAGATCTTCATGCCTTAATAAAGAGTCCAAACCCATGAAACTTTCTGGATACATAAATTTGCCCTTTACTCTCTGAAAGAGAGAAGTGTTAAAATTCTTACAGTAAGGGAATGGGGAGGTGGAATCCACCGAATCAGAAATCAGAGGACTGAGGGTCAGTCTCAGCTCTGCTTTTAGCAAAAGAGAAAGAGTGTAATTCAGTGGGAGGAACATGGGCTTTGGTGTTAGAAAGATTTGGGGTTGAATAATTTCTGATTCAGTTACTCTCCAAATGGGTGATCCTGACCAAGTTAGTTGAAATATAATAGTCTCGGTTTTCTCATCCATAAAATTAGGATACTGTGTTCTTCTTTTATAGAACGAATACTGTTCTGACTACCTACCACATCAGTTTTTATAATATTAAAATGAATGTACCTAAAAGTGATCCATTAACTGAAAAATGCTATACAACTGCATGTTAACATTATTACTAACCTCCCCCACCAGCCTAGGCTTTGCCATCTCTTGAGAGTTAATGTGTATAGTTATTCTAATTTGTCACATCCAGTTGGGTACTACACAGGGCTCCAGTTGCAAGAAATAATTTTACTTTATTAGCATCAACATTAATAATCAATATGATGCATAGAGTGACTGCTATATGTCTGGTACTCTGCAATATTATTTAAGTCCCAGCAAAATCCCAAGATATGCATATTATCCTAATTTTATGGATGAGAAAACTCAGACTATTATATCTCAACTAACTTGGCCTGGATCACCCAATTGGAGAGTGACTGAATCAGAAATTATTCAACCCCAAATCTTTCTAACACCAAAGCCCATGTTCCTCCCACTGAATTACACTGCCTCTTTCTCTTTCCCCTGCCTCATGGTAAATATGTTTTAGATTTGAGACTAAGACTGAGAAAACTGAAATTCACTATAAATCCTTCCTTGAATTAAAATGAAAGGGCCTCAACCGGGCTCGGTGGCTCAGCCTGTAATCCCAGAGCTTTGGGCGGCTGAGGTGAGTGGATTGCCTGAGCCCACAGGTTCGAGACCAGACTGGGCAACTTGGCGAGACCTCATATCTACAATAAATCAAAAATTAGCCGGGCGTGGTAGCGTACACCTGTGGTTCCAGCTACTTGGAAGGCTGAGGCAGAAGGATCGACGGAGCCCAGCAGGTTGAGGCTGCAGTGGCCAGGAGCGTGTCACTGCACTCCAGTCTGGGTGACAGAGTGAGACTCCAACTCAAAAAATAAATAAATAAATAAAATGAAAGGGCCTCTGTAGAGTATTTAAAATTAAATTAAATTAAATTTTAAAAGGAGCATTAAGCCAGGCATGATGGCTCATGTCTGTAATCCCAGCACTTTGGGAAGCTGAGGTAGAAGGGTTGCTTGACTTCATCTCTACAAAAAAAAAAAAATCAAACAATTAGTCAGGTGTGGTGGTGCACCTGTAGTCTCATCCCAGCTATCCAGGAGGCTGAAGTGGAAAGATCATCTGAGGCCAGGTCGAGGCTGTAGTAAACCCGTGACTGTGATCCTGCCACTGCACTCCAGCCTGGGTGACAGAGTGAGATTCTGACTCAAAATAAAAATTAAAAATACACTTTTTAAAAAGGAGCACTTTGGAGGCAGCAGGGAATAGGATTTTCTCTTCAACTCCTAGAGAGGTTGAAATGACCATGAATGAGTTATTTGACCTCCTGGGCCTCGTCTGTAAAATGGAGATGCTTCTCCACATGGCCTCTGTGAGCAAACGGACAGAAAGCAACCTGTAGAGCATAAAGCACTATGCAAGGACACTGCATTGACATTGGGATTGTTCTCAGGTACCAGCACTCTCAAGCCCATCACACCAACCTACCCTCTCTGATATACTTTGTGTTGTCCCAAGCTCATCACACCTTTTCCTCCTCTTACCTTATCCTCATCTTTTAAAAAAAAGTATAATAGTTTCTAAAACCCATCCTCTCCAAGTAGGCTTTCTGTCTTCTAATAATACCTAGAGAAGCTGAGAGAAAATTCCATGTGATTACGTCTTGAAGGGAACAAGCTGGAAGGCCCCCTTCAGTCTAAAATATGACCCTGCCTTTCCTGTTCCACACAAAGTGGCTGTTGGTAGACATTTCATTCCAGGCAAGGTGATGGGGCGGGGAGGTGGGTGGACATAGGGCGCTCAGCCAGAGAAGAAGGTGCTTCATGGTCGGTCTAGACTCTTCATCACCCTCAAATCACCTCAACTCGACTGCTACCTACCTCATAAAGTCCCTGCTGGAGATGTTTTTCTAAGTGTTTATTGAATTTTCTCTAAATCTGTAGTCATTCCACACACTTGTCTGCCCAAACACAAAGGCGTATTAAGGTTCCTTAATCAAAGGGCAGAGAAAAACCAGACAGCCAACCCAAGACACTATCTGATGCCAGGTGGCCACTGGCCTGGCTGACATTTCTTCCACATACCATACAGTCTTGCAACTTGGCCACACCGCTAGGAAAATGGATTGTCTGGCCTACACTCTCCATGTCTGATGACTGCAGTGATGCTGTTTGGCTGAGAGATGTACATTTTTATTTCCCATCTGGGCACAGTGTCTAGGAAATTAATCCAGGGTAATGAAATTGACAAACTTGGCCACAAAGAATCTCATCAAGAAGGAATAGGAAAAAATAAACAGGAAGAAATGATGTGCCCCGTAATCAGATAAACAGGAGTAAGTGGGCATTCAATGCCTTATTACACAAGAGCAAAGGCAAAATAGAAGGGGGTCAATGGATCATTTTCAACTGAGAGAATCTTAAATTTAAGTCCATAAAGAATTTTTCAAGAAAGTAAAGTTAGAAATGGTCAAATCCACAATTTTTTAAAAATTGCCTTTTAAAAAATATCTCCAAACAAAGAACAGAGATAGGAAGAAAATTTATTTCTCTTTGGATGCCCTTTTGTGCTTCTGAACTTTGTATCAGGTATTACCTAAGTATTAACTATTAACATTTTTCTATTTGAAAAAAAAGAATACTAAAGGCGAAATTGTTTAAAGTTAAGTTTGATGTTCCCTTAAGAGAAACAATACACTGTATGTAGTTTCTCAAAGAAGAAAAATATTGTCAAGTCAAAACCATGCTATAGAATATATTCTTCTTTGGCTGTGCAGCAAAAGTTGGAAGTAGCATTTATTTGTCAGCAGATGGCAAGACTTTTCTTTCTATGAAAGAATCATGTGTCCTTCTGTGAACTTTTCACAGAGCTTTCTGGAAAAATGGCTAAGTGACCACCCCAGGAACCAAGTAGACAAACAGCATGAATCCCAAAACCTACCTTTAAACAGCATTGTGAATATGAAAACCTACATCAACAACCAGAAAACTGTCTTGTGTACTCAAAGTCAAACAAACAACAGATCACCTACCTCTGAAATAAACTCCTCTGTGAGGTGCTGGTGGTGGAGGCTGGAGGGATCCTGCAGTTCTTCCCTGTATTGCTTCCCCAAAAGGTGAATACTGAATTCTGCAATTTGTTCAGCTGCTGGTTTTGTGGATTCTTCTACCACAGTCTCAATTTCATTGCTAATCTGGATGTTTAGAGAAAAAACAATAAATGCCAATGTTTATTCATTCAATCAACATTTATCGATTGCCTACAATGTGTCAGACACTGGTCTAAAGGCAACTTCTGATGATGACCTTCATATAGTAGTTGACTTCAGGACAAATTGGGTGAACTTCAAGACACAGGCTAATGTTAAAATAACTATGCATTTGTACATTCCTTCAAACACACATTAACCAGTTCAGAGGAAGGTAAAACATTTTTCACAGGAAACCATCAAAGTGAATCAAAAAGGAGTTGACTCTATTTTTAATCATCATCTAAATATAGTCTAGAAGGATAGTTCTCAAACGTTTTGGTCTTAGAGCCCCTTGAAATTCTTAAAAATTAATGAGGTATTTGGGTATGTTATACCTATAAATATTTACCAAGCAATCATTTAAAAGAGAAATTTTAAAAATAATTTGTTTATTTAAAAATAATAATAATCCCATTACATGTAAAAATAAACAAAACACTCAGCTACAAAAAAAAAATTAGTAGGAGTGTTAGCTACTTGGAAGGCTGGAATGGGAGGATCACTTGAGCCCAGGAGTTCAGGGCTGCAGTGAGCTTTGGTCACGGCACTGTAATCCAGCCTGGGTGACAGGGTGACAGGGTAAGACCCTGTCTCTTTTTTTTTTTAAGTGTGAAAAATGACATAATTTATATTTTTGCAAATTCTTTAATGTCTAGCTTATTAGAAGACAGCTGATTCTCCTAACTGTCCCTCCATTTAATTGGTTGCAATATGCTGTTTTAGCTACATGAAAAAATCTGACCACAAAGAAATATGCTAGGGAAGGAGTATATTCGTAGCCTTTTCAAATAATTGTGAAAATTTGTTTTTGATACTACACCAGACCCAACAAACGGTAATTTCTTAAAAGTTAATTGCTATGTGGAATCTAAAACCATATTCAGCAAACTTTTTGTACTCTGCAGTGTTCAAATCCAAGCTTTCCAGTGGCCAAAGCTTAAATAATGTAAGCAACAAAATAAATATTGGCTACAACCCAAAGAATAAAATAAATAACCCATGAATCTATCTATACTGATATAAATAAGTGATTGGGTAAACAAATGAAGCGACAACAGTTTCTTTCTGTGTGTGTGTGTGTGTGTGTGTGTGTGTGTGTGTGTGTGTGTGTGTGTGTGTGTTGGAGTCTTACTCTGTCGCCCAGGTTGGAGCGCAGTAGCACGTTGTTCACAGCTCTGCAGCCTTGACCAGCTGGGCTCAGGCAACCCTTCTACCTCAGCCTTCCAAGTAGCTGGAATCACAGGCATGAGCCACCATCCCAGCTAATTTTTTGATTTATTGTAGAGACGAGTTCTTGCCAAGGTACCCAGGCTCGTCTTGAACCCTTGAGCTCAGGCAATCCTCTGGCCTCTGCCTCCCAAAGTGCTGGAATTACAGGCATGAGCCACCATGCCGGGTGGCAACAGTTTCTGACAGAGTAATTCCAACTAATAAAGGGAGGAGGAATGAGAGAAGTAGAATATCACCACTAGAACACTACAGTAAGAGCTGCTGCATGCAAAATACACCCAAGCTGATCTAATCCAAGGGCCTCCATTTTGAAACACAGGAAAACCAGGAAATGAACAGGATGGAAGACCACCTAAGGAGTCACAGCAAGCCAACTGCAGAGTCAGGAGCAGAACATGGGGAGTTTTCTTTCCACTGCATTACTTCTCATCCCTGATGGATCATATAATTCAAGACCTTCAAAACTCCAGACCGGTAAAGAACCTCCCAGATCCCACCATCCCTCTGATATCTGAACTCTCTCTGTACTCTCCCGGGCAATTGCTTCTCATCAATTTAAATGGCTCTGATGAGAAAGAAACATGTCTTTCAAAGGCAGACTATTATACTTCTAAAAGCACTCAGGGTTGGAAATTTCTTAATACTAAACCCTAAAAGTTCTACTTATAGTTGAATCCTACAAGCTCTACCATTGATCCAGATTCTTTAATCTTGGACACATATAAAAACTGCTGTCCCAGAGAGTCCTTCAAATATACACAGGCAGCTACCGTGTCTTCCCTGACTTTTCTCTAGTTCCTCTCCTCCAGATACTTCTCCGGCTCTTAATGTCTTTCTTAGAGTGTGGCACCCAATTTAATTGTCTAACCAATTAAAATATGGTAGAATTACCACCTCACTTATAGTAAACTCTTTATTTCTGTTAAAGCAATCTAAAGTTGTATTAGCTTTTACTAGTTTGGTCTTGTTTTTCCAGTAACTGCATCATACTACTGTCATAGTAAGTAATAGCAATAGCAATATCAATTATAAAATAAATATCTTAAGTAATCTTACTGCTGAAGAACACCTAAAATGCTGAATACATTTTTAAATGGCTTTAATGCATAGTTGTTTTGCAAGAAAATTAGAAAACGAACCAACAAAAAAACCCAAGGTGTCAAAGAAGATAGATTACAGAAACCCAGAGAGATGATTCAGTATTGGAGGTGGTAGCTTCCATGGAGCATATACTGATCCTTTGTGGTCAAGCCTTAGTTTTAATCCCTGCAAAGGGATAAGAATGCAAAGTAGAAGGTTCATCCATGTTGAAACATCAGATCAAAGACTCCCAAATAAAGCAAAGATGCTATATACCCAATGGACAGTTTGAACAATATAGACTAAACTGAAAGAAGAATGAGTGAACTGAAAGACAGAATTAATGCAACATAAACAAAGAAATAAAAGTTCTTAAAGAGTTAAGAGACATGAGAGGTAAAATGAGGAGGTCAGATGTATATCTAGTTGCAAGAGGTAACAGCTGAGAATGTCTTCGAATGTATTAAGGACATAAAGCCTTGCAAGGAAATGCAGCAAATCTAAAGTGCAATAAATGCACACTTATATCCATTTTTGTGAAACTGCATAATCCAAAATACAAATGCACATCTGTAAATGTGTATATATACGTGTGTGTGCATATATCTTAAAAGTAGCCAAAGAAAACAACCAAATTGCACACAAGGAAGTGGCAACTGAACTAATAGTTCAGTTCTCAGTAGCAACAACAGAATTCAGAAGGCAGGAAAATAAAAGCTTGACTAGCAACTCAATCCAGAATTGAATACAGATTCTTTCTAGAATAAGAAGATGATAAATATCTTTCTAGAATAAGAAGATGATAAAGAAATATTTGCATGATCAAAAACTGAGATAGAACAGTGAGAGACTCTTACTAAAGTAATTTCAGAAGTATATATTTCTGGAAGTTATCCCAGAAGAGTGGTCTAAAATGTAAAAAGTAATTTTAAGAAAATAGAATCATAAACATCTAGGTAAATGTGAAACAAACTTTAACTGTATAAATCAATACAATACAGTCTAATCTGTAGGATTAAAAAGAGAGGGGGAAAGAGAACAAAAACACACCAAAAAATAGCAAAAAATAAGTCAGCAGGGTGTTCATTTGAATTACAATGCTTTAATATTCCTACAATCTCAGAATAAGAACAAAAATTTTGAAAAAATTAAATTTTGTGAAGTTTAATGCATATTATAATTTATAGGGTAGCTACAAACAAAACAGAAATATAGTATATCATCTCTAGAAGAGTAGAAGGAAAAATGTATTAGGAAAATAACTGAACTGTAAAACTGTACCTTGGACTTCATTTTGAATTAGAGGTACAGACAAACTAATTTTTGTTAGGTATCTCTATGCCATTTTGTTTTCCTACTGGTTTTATAAATTGGTTTAAATCAGCTCTGTTTTGGATATTAATATGCAATTATGTTTGTATGCAACTGAGTGCATACAATTCCTTCATTTCTCTTATTGTGAATACGATCTCATTCTATAAATGTTTGCTGACCTCAGGAAATTGAGTTATTCTGTAGTTCAGAACTACAGTATCACTTTGTATTCATTCATTCACAAATATTCATTAAGTGCCAACATTTTCAAGCACCATCTACTTGGCACACAGTTGTACTTAGGGTAAAATTGATGCAGGTATATACTCAAGGGATCCTAAGTTGCCACCAGCCTTGTTTAGTGACAGGGAAGGTGAAGAAGCAGAGTGGAGCAACTTAACCTGATTTCAAATATGTTAAAATGTCCGCATCAGGAAGAGAAGGTGTAAGGTAACTGAACTGCATTTTCCAGGGAATATATTTGTCAGAGTTGGCTCTATATTAAATAACCAAGGATTTATGAGACCCTCCATTTTTTTTTTCTTGAGTTGGAGTCTCACTCTGCCACCCAGGCTGGAGCACACTCACAGCCACCACAGCCGTGACCTGCTGGGCTCAGATGATCCTTCCACCTTAGCCTCCCAAGTAGCTGGAACCACAGGCATGTACCACCACACCCAGCTAATTATTTTTAGTTATTGTAGAGAGAAGGTCTTGCCAAGTTGCCCAAGTTGGTCTCGAACCCTTGGGTTCGCAACTCTCTTGCCTCCGCCTCCCAAAGTGCTGGGATTACAGGTGTGAGCCACCATGCCCAGCTTCCAAATTTTTAAATGTAAAATTTAACAAAATATCTAACAAAATGCTTCCATCTTCTTGGTATTTTTTTTGTGAATCTGTAATTTTTTGTGATAGAGACTTGGCTATAAGATTTAACAATGTTTAGTGGACAGGATCCTATCAATCATGGTGTATTTTAAAAGCATGTGCTTTTTTATTTTGAAATAACATAAAATCTACATCCTTTTTCTCTGAAGAAGAAAAGACTAATAACTGGTCTATTAAGAGATAGAAGAGGCTGGGCTCAGTAGCTCAGCCTGTAATCCCAGCGCTTTGAGAGGCTGAGGCGAGTGAATTGCCTGAGCCCATGGGTTTGAGACCTGGCAACTTGGCGAGACCTCGCCTCTACAATAAAATAAAAAACAGCTGGGAGTGGTAGCCTGCGTCTGCAGTTCCAGCTACTCGGAAGGCTGAGATGGAAGAATCGCTGGAGTCCAGCAGGTCGACGCTGGGGTGGCTGTGAGTGTGCCACTGCACTCCAACCTGGACGATGAAGTGAGACTTCAACTCAAAAAAAAACACAAAACAACAACAACAACAAAAAGATAGAAGAACATAGGCAAAAATCGCCACAGTAAATTATGTCCCAGAGTCCACAAGAAACCACGGGTTTACTGTGATGACAGTTTCCCAGGCCCCAAGTCATTTCATTTACAATTTGAAGCCCTGTCTCACCAAGAAATCACCAATAAGAGCATAATTCAGCTTCCCAAGGAATCACAGTTTCTTTATAATGTACAAGTTTTAAAATCTATGACATTTCCATAACAGGGCACTACATGAAGTCATGCGTAGTCCAGCAATGGAATATACGCTAATCCCTATTCTCCATGTTAGAAACTAAGTAACAGAGCATCACTCACACTCTCCTCCGGCCTTTCGAAGCTGCTCTCCGAGGCATCTTCATGGGAGGCCACGCTGGGAGCAGCATCTGAAGAAAAAAGCAAAAACATATGTATGAATTCAGTGCCTGGTAAGTCAGAATTCCCACCAGGAAATAAGAAACTAACTTCAAAAATCATTCCTATAAGTCATATGCTTGAACATCTTGGAAATTCAGTGCATTCTAACCTCAAGACACATTTGCATGGTGTCCTCCCAGAACAAGAAATAAGGACTCATTCAGCAAGCGTGCATTGAGCACCTAGCATATGCCAAGCCCTGCACAAGACTCTAGGAACGCAAAGTTCCTGTCCCTAGGGAGCTATCTAGTAAAGGGGACAGATACTAAAAAAGTAACTTTATCAGAGAAGGGAAATGGATGAAGGCTGGAGAATGGCCATGAATTAACAATTGTTGAAACTGGACCTTATCATGCTATTCTGACTATTTTGTAGATGTTTGAAATTTCTAACACAGAGAAGTTTGTGCCTCCTTTTTTTCATTAAAAACAAAGAAACTGGAAATCTCTTTGGGTCCCCTCCAACTGTGGGAGCTTTTCTGAACTCTCAATAAATCCTGCTTTAAAAATAAATACATAAATAAACCAATCAATCAATCAACAACCAATTTATAAGAAATAGAAAGGTTAAAGGAACATGTTAAACCACACAACTGAATGCAGTTTTAAAAAATCCTTACTCAAGCTGGGCTCAGTGGCTCAGCCTGTAATCCTGCGCCTTTGGGAGGCTGAGGTAAGTGGATTGCCTGAGCCCGCGGGTTCGAGACCCGCCTGGGCAGCGAGACCTCATCTCTACAATAAATCAAAAAATCAGCCGGGCGTGGTAGCGCATGCCTGTAATTCCGGCTACTTGGAAGGCTGAGGTGGAAGGATCGCCGGAGTCCAGCAGGTCGAGGCTGCGGTGGCCAGGAGCGGCCACTGCACTCCAACACACACACAAAAAAAATCCTTACTCTGGAAAATGCTCACAGACAAAAATGACAAATGGTGGAGTTAAAAAGGTTCTACCATTTGACACTAGTAGTGGTTACAGAGTTTGCCTTAAAATAATTCATTAGGTCATATAATTCTTTTAAGTAGTGTTCTGATTTATATTAAACAATTAAGAATTCATCAGTAACTACAACATAATGCCATAAAATAAGTTTTAAAAATTTACTTTTTCTATAAGGCTAGGCACAGTGATGAATGCCTGTAATCCCAGCACTTTGGGAGGCTGAGGTGGGAGGATCACTGGGGCCCAGGAGTTCAAGACCAGCCAGGGCAACACAACGAGACCTCATCTCAATGATTGATAGATGATAGATAAACATTTACTTTTTCTTAAAAACAGGTTTTTAAAAAAAATTATTCTTTTTTGAGACCCTTTAAAAAGAGAGAAATCTGATATTTTAAAATATGAACTGGGAAAATATACTTGCTTATAAGATTGTCTTAAACCATAAATAATTTAAAAAGAAAAGCGAATAAAGACACAAAAGCATACCTCCCAATGTTGAAGTAAGATCAGTAGGAACTGGAGAAGACAATTCCGGGCTAGGGGAAAAAAAATGTTTGCAGTTAATAAAACAAGAGAAACATAAGGGCTTATTTGAGGTTTGGGATATGTTCACCAAAAAAGGAAAACACTAACTAGGTCACCAATTAAGGCAAAAATATCAAGTAGCGCAGTTTTTAAAATTATACCTTCGGAATTCATTTATTTTACATTTATTGGTGCCTCCTCAACTCAAACCTCCCTAGGAAAAGCACTTTCCTCATTCCTATTTCATTACCCTGTTTTGCCTCTTTTTGGTTCATATCACTATGTGAATCTTTTTTATTTATCACTATGTGAATCTTTGTTTATTTATCCACTTCTTTATCTCAGTCTCTGACCCCTTAGTCATCTAGAACAGTGTTGTCCAATATGGTAGCCACTGGACATTGTAGCAATTTGAATAAATTAAAAATAAGCAAAGTTAAAATCTCAGTTCTTCATCCGCACCAGTCACATCTCAAGTGTTCAACCGTCACATGTGTAGTGACTACCATACCGAACAAGACACTACAGAACATTTCTTTTTTTTTTTTATTTAAAGATGTTGGATACAATTCAGGGTTAGGTATACAAATGTTCATTATGCAAGAACCCTTGTTGATGAAGTATGCCTCCCCTCCCCACTACAGAACATTTCTATCATCACAATAAGTTACATTGAACAGGACTGCATTAAGAATCTAAACTCCATGAAATCACGGACCCTGCCTGACATATCCCTGCTGTATTTTCCAGTACCTAAATTAGTATCTGCCATTTAGCAGGCATTAAAAAGATATCTTTGGAATGAATGAATACTGTGTGCCAAGCAGTGTAGAGGATACTCGGTCTATAGTTGTGAGCAAAATACTCACAGTCTATGAATGTTACAGACACCACATAAATGATTTCAATGCAACAAGTAGTATAGACAGACAAGTACCAGCAGTGAGAAGGAACATATAACCACGAATCTCATCTCATTTGAGAGATAAATGCAATCACAAAACCTCGTTATGTAAAGAGAGTCAAGCTTGGAGAAATGATTTGCTGTAGACTCCACAGCTAAAAGATGTCAGGCCTCCTAACTGTCCTTTTACCGTGTCACCCTGCCACTGCAAGCAAAGATCAGATGAGATCATAAGATAATCTGAGAAAGCCCCCACTCTTGAAGGAAAAAAAGTTGGCTTCCACAAGTCCAGATTTTCACATATCCCAAAGGTTATATAGAAAAGTTAAATTATAGTAACTTGGGAACATTTAGAATGTTAAATTTCACATACATATTCTAAGAGGAAAGGGCTTTTCCATTAACCTTTTTCAAAGGTGCTGGATCTTTGGTGATCATTTCAGCTTTAAACTCATAGCAATTGAAAACTATCTTCCATATTACCAAGTCAGCTTCCCACAACGATTTGATCACAGTAAAAAATGTCTCCCTCACAGACTTTCCCAGGTGCCAGGAAGTCATAACTGCAAAACCACTCCTTTTTATTACCCTACCATTCTAAATTAGGTCATCAGAGATACTCAAAGCCATGAGATAAATATGGCATCAATTTTACTGGAAGCTTAAGCAGATGGGAAGTTAAAGAAGAACGGATACATAATTTAAAACATTTTAATATCACAGCAAACATGGCTATTGTATAGATAAAATATAAAGTGTAAATGAATGTGAAGATAAAATATGATCATTCAAAGACATTTTATAATTGGAGCTGGAGTGAGAGGACCAACTAGGGGCTTGTATCTAAACCCCCAAGTTTTGGTAGAAAATTTGAGAAGTGCAGGTATGGTGGCTCATGCTTGTAATCCTAGCACTTTAGGAGGTGGAGGCAAGAGGATTACATGAGTCCAGGGGTTCAAGACCAGCTTGGGCAACATGGCAAGACCTCATCTCTACAATAAATCAAAAAATTAGGCAGATGTGGTGGTGCACACCTATGGCTCCAGATATTTGGAAGGATGAGATGGAAGGATGGCCTAAGCCTGGCAGGTTGAGGCTGCAGTGGCCATGAGCATGCCACTGCACTCTAGCCTGGGTGACCGTGAGACCTCAACTCAAAAAAATCTTATCATAAAGATCCTACTAGTTTTTTAAAATACTACCTAAAGTTATTTAATCATTACACCAACTCTATTCCTATTGGTTATTTAGAGCACATTTGCAAAACACTGCTTGCCAAGTGAGCTGTCATCTGAAAGAATCAAAAGGAATATGACACTGGGACAAGTCATTTAGATGAGCAAAGGAAGGCCTCAGTGACGACAAAGTACCAAGAGGCTTCTTGGGTTGCAGGAGATGGAGCTAAAAAAAAAAAAAGTATAGAACTCAGATGTATTTGGAACAGACATTAACATAAATCAGATCTGAATAGGGTCCATTGATTGTCCACAAAGCAGTATGCCTTCTCAGTACCTTCATTTCATAGGTGAAAAAAAACAAAGTCCAAATAAGCAAAGCAATTTTCCCAGACTCACACAAAAATTCCAACAGCAAGAATAATTATACCTGAATTCACAGAGCCCTCATCATATGTCATCTGCTGTGCTAAGTGTTTTATCTAGGTTAACTTACTTAATTCTGACAGCCACTTTAAGAGGGAGATCCTATGATCCCCATTGGGACAGATGAGGATACTAATACTAGAAGAGGTCAACAATTTTCTCAGGGTTGCACAGCTAGCCAATGGAGGAGCCATGGTATAAATGGGCCCGCCGGATCCCAGAAACCTCACTCTTATGCACCTCAAGTCATTGCTTCCCAGCACAGCCCTTTATGTGACCCATACCCTTTAGAAGGGTTTCCCTTGGCCTTCATGATTGTAACGAAGTAGCCACAAATCTGAGAAGGCTTGCATATAATGTTTACCTGTTCCAAAGAAATCATCCTGAGGTTCCGCCAGGAGACACATTGGCTTATTAACCTTACAGGAGGCGGGTAGGTGAAGAATCCACGCCTCAGGACAGTACAGCCAGCAGTCTTATAATCAAAGCCATAAAGAGAATCATTCCTTTATGGGGTTTACAGTTACACTGACGACTACATTGCTTTCAGCTTTGCTTGTTCACCTGCATCCCGTGACTCATGATTGGGAATATGCATAACCTTCAGAGAGCAGCCTTGGCCAGAGACTGCTTCCTGAGGGCAGGGGCAGAAAGAAACCAGGTAGAGGGGGACAGTCTATGTCTGGATAAAACCCCACAAGAAGAGTGGCCTATAGAAACAAAACAACCTGAAAGTCAAAGTGTATAAGGTCCCAGAAAGAGGAAGGGAAACGCGGTCAGAGGTGTAGACCTATGGAGAGCAACCAGATATGAGCACAGTAAGGAAAGCACAGCACAGCAGCTAGAACAGGATGTTGGAATGAGATGGGAGAGAAGCCAGACCTCACCTGGGGCGAGTCAAATTGTCCTTGACATCCTAATCAAATTTAAACTAATTCTCTGCTGAAGCAAGCATTCAGAATGGAAAAGTTTGATTACTTCAATGAAACTAAATTTCACCTTACTGAATTCAAAACATTATTTTAGTGATGGTAAGTAGGAAACTCTTCGTAATTCAAATAAACCACTTGCCTTCCAACCCTTAATCCCTCACCCTCCTATTCCCCTTTCAAAAGACAGTAAAGAGCACTTAACACGAATCCTTTCACATGTTCTCATTAAGTATGCCTCCTGCAGAAATTCCTTAAAATGTCACTCACAACAGCACTAGAACACAGAGGTGTATTGAGTTTGGAGACAGAAACACTACTTCATCTCTAGGCGAAACCACAAAAGTGAAGTCGTTCAGCTAAGACCTTTAGCTTAATACCAGCAGCAAACAACCCCCTGCTGTCTCATTTCCTCAGTTCATCCAGCAGATGATTCACTCTTCATCACTGCTACTTAATCATGTCAGTAGAATTCAGATGGGACTGTGTCAAAAGATACTCATAGCCACACAGAATATAAGAGTAAAGACACTGAAACAAGCCAAGCACAGGTTCATATGCAGATTACTACTCCCCTTGACGATCTGCTATACATTACTTTGTTCTTGAATCCGCTACTATAATCAGCATATGACAGCAAAAGAACCCAAGAAGGAGTCAAGAATCCTAGGTACTGAGCCCAGATGTAACATTAACTTTGTGTATGTCTTGGGGATATGCGGTCTGACAATTAAGTTTATGAACTCATCCTAGAAGAAGTGCTACATTGCTGAATATCACTACAGTCACCTTTGAAGTACTCCCCTGGAGAAGCTATGCACGGACACCACAGCCTAGTCCAGGCATCAAAGCAAGTTTGAAACTCTTTTTCTGGAATGGTAATCAGAGCAGTCGTCGTGAGAATGTTGGAGTTTGAATTAGAGCAGTAATCAAACATTAAACTTCCTGTTAAACTTGGCAAGAGTGGAAGTGAAATCAGGGACATGTTAGTCCAAGTTTATGGGGATAATTTCATGAAGAAAACAGCAGTGTACAAATGGATTAAATGTTTTCTGAGGGACAAAAAAGTGTCACTGATGAAGAGAGGTCAGGACGACCAGTAAAGTACACTGACAAAAACAGCAAAAATTCATCAAATTGTGTCAAAATCGTTGGCTGACTGTGAGAAGCATAGCAGGGCAAATAAACATCAATAGATAAACAGGACAATCTTAACTGAAAATCTTGGCATGAGAAAGGGTGTGCAAAAATGGTCCCAAAGAAACTCTCACATCACGACAATGCAGCAGCTCACACAGCACTATCTGTGAGGGAGCTTTTAACCAGTAAACAAATAACTGTATCGGAACACTCTCCCTACTCCCCTGATCTGACCTCCAATGACTTTTTTCTTGACCCAAAGATAAAAGAATATTGAAAAGAAGACATTTTGATAACATTCAGAACAGCTCAAAATTGCTTTGAGCGGTAGACTAGGCACTGGCCTCAATGTATAGCTTCCAAGGGGAGTACTTCGAAGGTGACCATAGTGATATCAGCAATGAGGTGTGTGGTACCTTTTCTAGGATGAGCTCACA